GGCTAAAGTTAGTCACTATAGCTACTCCCAGCCTGACGCAAACTATTTTAGTAATTTTTCCAAAAGCAAAAATTATAACTATCATAAATCTCCTATAAAGATTTGATGACATATACCCCAATTGCAGTTGAACTGACATTAAATAGCCATTGCCACGAGCTCTTTGCCATTAACAAGAAATTATCACAAAAGGGTGAAGTGTGTGTGTGTGTGTGTGTGTGATAGAACATGTATCATAAATGGAGTGATTGTATGCACTCATCTTGGCTCCTAAACTCTGACAGCAGTCCATTTTCTCAGAGAGCCAAATTGGACTTTGACTATCCATATCCTGCGATTAACCTCTTGAGAACTACAAGTATCATTTGTGCAGATTTGTGCTGTCTTGCACACATACTCTATACAGCACTTTCAGGGTTGTTTTATTTATCTATCTACCACTATTTCTGTTTTAGAGATAAAAATCCCCAGAAAACATTTGGACTTTTTTTTTGAGAGCAGGGAATCTAGATTTTTAGATTGCACCCACTGCAGAACTGATGACAAGGAGAATTTTGCTATCAGCTGTTTCTTTGCTAAAATGTACAAAAGCCACATTGTTGTTGAAAACAGCTAATATGGGTTAAAATTGTGTTTGAATTCAGTAACTGCAGTGGTTGGATGTTATGCTCCTGTGAAACAAGGCTTCTGGTAGGGTATCACATGCCAGACAGGCGTTTGCTGAGCAGTCAAACTATATGTGACAAGCAGCTACTGGCCATCAGCAGTATTGGGGGGTGACCCTTACAAAGGATCTCTTAGTGATAACAACCACAGCACTAAAGCTAACACTTATTTGTACCGCAAAGGAGGGCCGATAAACCCATTTGAATACCTTCTATCATGAAAACCCTATTATGAGAAAATCCAAAATGAAGAAGATATAGTGCCTAAAGGTGAAACTTCCGGGTTGAATGTCAATTAACAAACTCCTTTAGTATAGCTGAGGACAACAACAATTAGCGCTATGGCTAATTATACAACTGGATTCAAGCTGAAAGGAAATTAAGCTGGTGGCATGTTCAGAAGCTGCACAACACACATTTTAGGAACATGAAATGTGAGTAGCAGGCAATAAAGGAAGCCAATCATAGTAAAACAAGAAACAGAACATATAAATATTGCAATGCTTGCGATGAGTGAGTTAAAGTGGAAACCTGTGGGATATTTTGAGTCAGATAATTACAGAGTGTTCTATTCAGGAAGTAGAAATATCTGAAGAAATTGGGTGTTATTAGTAGTAAGGTCAGATGTAGCAAAAGCAGTTAAAGGATATGATGCAGAGTTTAATATCAACACAGGCATTTTTTTGATCGTGTCAGGAGCAACCGCTCCTGTTGTGAGAGAATTGGCCGTCTGCAAGAACGTTGCCCAGGGGACGCCTGGATGATTTTTTGATGTTTTATCATCCTTGTGGGAGGCTTCTCTCATGTCCCCGCATGAGGAGCTGGAGCTAAAAGAGGGAGCTCATCCGCCTCTCCCTGGATTCGAACCTGCAACCTGTCGGTCTTCAGTCCTGCCGGCACAGGGGTTCAACCCACTGCGCCACCGGGGGCTCCAACACAGGCATAAGAAGAAGAAATTAGAGACCAGGAGGAAATTGACCACACGCCCAAACAGGATTTTTTGTTAATTATAGGTGACTGGAATGTAAAAGTAGGAAAAAAGAGCAGAAGCCAAAATAGTGGGAAAATTTTGCATAGTATCAAGAAATGAAGCAGTAGAGTAATTAAATTTTGTAAGGCCAACAGTTTATTCATTGCAAATATATTATTCAAGTAACCTGTTGAGTTGAAGATTAAGAAAACAGAATTGACCACAGATGATTTCCATAACTTTAAAGTAAACAATGAAGATTTTGAAACAGTCTAAGATTTTCCATCCTTTGGCTCAGTCATTAAATGGTGACTGTAGTCAAGCAATCAGAAAAAGACCATGACTTGGGAGTTATAAAACAACTAGACAAGATCAGGAAGTTTAAAGAGATATCATTGAATACTAAAGTTATAATTGCCTGTGCCATTAATGATATCTATGTATGGTTATGAGCACTAGATAGTGAAGAATACTGTTAGGAAGAAAATCAATTCATTTGAAATGAGATGCTGGAGAAGAATTCTGTGGATACCGTGGATAGCTAAAAAGACAAATAAATGTGCCCTAGAACAAATCAAGCCAAGATGATTAAACTAAGAGTTGTACTTTGGACATGTAATGAGAAGACAGGACTCCCTTGCAAAGAAAGTAATGTTTGATAAAGTTGATGGCAATAGGAGAAGATGAAGACAATATTACAGACGGATAGACTCAATCAAGGAAGCCATAGCCCTGGGTCTCCTATTTATGTATATGTGTTCATGTGCCTTCAAATTCCCTGTCAACTTATGGTGTCCTCATAAATTTCATTGGGTTACTTAGGCAGGGAAAACTCAGAAGTGCTTTTCCCATTCCTTCTTCTGACATATAACTACAGCATCTGGTATTCAATAGCAGTCCCACATCCAAGTACAATCCAGGACCAGTCCTGCTTGGCTTCTAAGATCAGATCTGGTGCCTTGAGGGTATTGAGACTCCTTCTCTCATTCGTTATGGTAACAAGCACTAATACTCTCAGTTCAGCTAATGTGGATGTAAGATGGATTCATCACAGATAGAATCTGTAGTCAGTCAACCTGTTATTTTAAAAGAAAGACTCATATTCTACAGTAAAAACATAACCATTCCTATACACACAGGTAAAACTAAATCATAGCCAAAACTAACAATGAAATAATAAAAGATTTCAGAAGTATTTCTTTGCTTTTACTCCAGTTTCCTCCTCTTTGAAACATCAATGAATACAAATAGCGCAGTACTGATCGCGAGCATGCTTAGATTTAACATAACCAGTGAGGTGTGGTATTGTATACATCACTACAAGCAGACATTTTAAAGAATATTCCTCATAACAATTAAGCCTCATTTAAGGTATTGCTCACAGAATGTATAATCTTGATCTGGTAGTTGTTTAGGGGGTTATTACTACCACAATATGTACATATGTGTGTGTGATATCTGTCCACGAAGTGGCAATCAGTTGTAATTGCTATGTGGGTGCAACAATTATACCTAATGGCTTTTTAATCAAAAATGATAATCGTATATCTGTACCTTGAAAACTTTTTGATGAAATAGATTCCATCTAATTTATGTGTAGCAGAGCTAGAATGTGTGTTTACCTTTTGATTTCTTTATACATTTTATTTTCTTAGCTCTGTTTTCTGAAATATAGCCATATGGGGTGCTGAAACAGACTAGTTTCTTCACTTACAATGTTCACGTTCTGCTCAGAGATTTATTCTGTAGAACTTTGCACCCCTAGAATCTCCTAAGCCAAGTTTATACTCTTTGATATAAGATGCTGGTGCTGAAATGAATTGGAATGGCCAGGCTTGAGTCTTCTGCTGAAATGGCTCACATCCCTATTGGTGCATTCAAGAAGAGTTATTATTCTGGTTCAAAATAGCACAATCATTGGTAGCAGCTATCTCTTTAGGATTGGGTTGCCCTCTGGAAAGCCTAATTTTATCCTGTCAGATAGAGGTATCATCTTACCAACTATGTTATTATTTACATTTTGCATACAATAACATTTCAGATTAAATTGAAATCTACTCTTAAATACCTTATTTAAGAAGATTATGAGGTGGGCCTTTTTACAACATGTGTGTCTTAATCACTCAGATAGAGGTTAACTCCGCAGTTTCCATTCTGATTAATTTTGTGGTGATTATTAATTCTAGTTGAACATGTGTTCTCTTCTAATGAGCACGGAGAAATGTTTTCCGCAACACTCTAATACTCAACGCTTCTTAAATTATCTTTTAAAAATCCTTTTAATTGCATTTTGTTTCTTAGTGTAGATTTAGATTTTTTAAAATACTTTCCTATGAGGTGTTACCCTGTAAAAAGGTTTACAACATCTACAGCTCTGTAGTTTAGAAAAGGGAAAATAAGGGGTGAATATGATGAATGACGTATAAATTTATGTACAGTGTATGGGAATTGGTTAAGGACATATTATTTCTCAAGCATGAATTGAATAGTGGATAATTCAGAAAAGGAAGAAATGCAGTACTTTTTCATACTGCATATGTTTAAACTCTGGAATTAAGTACCACAACATATAGTAACCATCTTCAAAGGAGGATTAGACAAATCTATTCATGATAAGACTATCCCAATACAGTTCATGGTGGAATGTTTCATGCCTCTAGTATCAGTTACTGACTGATTACTGTGGGATATTAGCCCAAATACATTTGCTAGTGCAATCAGAACAGACCCATTGAATCAATGGGATTTGCATAAATGTTGATTTACCACTGAGCAGTTGATCAAATGGGATTTGCATAAATCATTGGGATTTGCATAAATGTTGACTTTTGTGTGTGTGGGTGCCTTCAAGTCTTCTGTTGACTTGCGGTTGACCCCATGAAGTTCACGGGGTTTTCTTAGGCAAGGAATATTCAGAGATGGATTTGCCAGTTCCTTCCTCTGAAATATAGTTATAGCATCAGGTATTCACTGGCAGTATCACAAGAAGTACCAACCAGGGCTAATTCTTCTTAGCAGCCAAGATAAGATGGAATCTGTTGCCTTTATAATATTTGGACCAACTAAATGGTGATTTACTGTTAAGCAATTCAGTCAATGTGTCCAATGCAATTGGAACTAGCAATTGGATCACGCAGGCCTAGATAAAGCCATCACAGCTCTTATGTTGTTATTTTCATATTCTAAGCCACTGTTGCAAATTCCCAGTAGTTCCCCAAACCTCTTCCATAGCTTTAAAATCTGATAATACTTTTAAGTAAATATAATAGGGATCTGTGGGCAAAACAAATGTGCCACTGGGATAGAGCTTAGTGTTTTTCAGGTTTTTGAGCTTCACCAAATTACATTGTATTCCTATATCCTAGAATCCTGCTGCCAAATGAGGACACTGGACAGTGGAATAGGAACCTTCCCTCTCCCCGACTCAGGAAACCGCTCAACTGGAAGGCACGTTTCTAAACAAGAACTGGATTTGGACACTCATGTTTTCACATCACCTGGACATGCATTTCCTCACACTGCTTCTGAGAAAGCCAAAACCCTTGAGCGAGAAGTGCCTTCAACAACTGATAAGAACCAGGGTTCTGTGGAGAGCATAATATCCCATTCAGCATCTGATCCTACCATGACAGCTAAAAGTTTACGGCCTTTTCAGAGTCGCCTTCCACAGCCAGCTTCTGCAGGTAAAAATAACATCATGTTGCACATTAGATTCCTTCTGACCTGTTGTCTGTTTCCCTTAGTAGAAACCTGTACTAATGACATTGGATAAAAAACATTGGAAATGCACTGCTGAAAAGACACTTCAAAGTTACTGTAGAAGGTTAACAAGCTAGTGACCACGCTGATGTTGAAATCTTGTTACATGAAATACTAATCTGTCATTTTCTAAAGACTGCTCTATGACACCACATATCTCTAAATAGATGTCAGATGAAATCAAGACCAAGGCTGGTTTACCTTGTTATTGGAAATGAACTTAAGAAGTACTAAAAATGTTAAAATTTGGCTTATAGTATTTAGTTTGTATACACACACATATATACAAAGCCATTATTTTACTAACAACATTTTGGAAATTGAACTATTGGGCATTTACTGACTAGATATCTCTGTCTCATGAGATTTCTTTTGTCCATTGATATGTACAGCTTGAATGAATAGCTTAAGTTTCAAATGATTTCCATCAATATAACATGTTCTAGTTTGTTGCAATGTGCCTAGAGATGTCTTCACACATCTCTTCCCCTGTACCATTTTGCCGGCAGTCATGTGGGGTACCTCATGGTGCCCTCATGCCTTCCCTCCTTCTCCTGACAGGAGAACAGGGCAAGGTACATTGCCACATTGTCATTTCCCCCATCAAAGGGGGGAAAGGCAAAAAAACCGTACACCTTACCTTCAGGGCTGTAGCCAGAAAAAATTTTCAGGAGGAGTTGAAATTTTCAGGGGGGGGGGTTTGAAAATTTCGCGGGGTGTGTGTGTTGAAACCTGCCTCCTAGCTCACGCTGAAGCAAAGAGCATAGCAGGGGGCAGAGCAGCCTTCAGTAGCCTGCAGCTCCACCCCTGTCAACCACCTCCACCAAGTCTGGCCTCCTTAATGAGAGTATTCAACTCACACACACCCAACTTGGTTGCTTCACTACATCGGCTATTGTTGCAAGTAATGACAGTGTGCATAAATTGTCAATATTTGCTTGAGATAGTGCTTACAGTTCTGGAGGGACTTTTAATTTTTTGCATCTCATAGACTTAGCATGGGGATTTTATGTTGTTGTTGTTCATTCGTTCAGTCGTCTCTTCGTGACCTCATGGACCAGCCCACGCCAGAGCTCCCTGTCGGCCGTCACCACCCCCAGCTCCTTCAAGGTCAGTCCAGTCACTTCAAGGATGCCATCCATCCAACTGGGGATTTGGTTAACCAGTTAAAATTCATGAGTAAAGCAGGTTTTTTAAAAAAATCTGAAACATTTCGGGGGGGGTTGAACCCCTAAACCCCCCCCCCCTCGCTTCAGGCCTGCTTACCTTTCATCCTGGCCGAGGAAGTGTATTGTGATGCTTCCTTGGCACTTCAAGCATAAATGGGGGAGGGCCTGCCGAGTGTCATGTGATGGTGTTTGGCAGGCCCCATCCTCAAAGTAATTTGCCTCAGTGTGATGAGATGTTAAGTCGTTCATGGTATATATATATATAAAAAGAATTATCATCATCATCATCTCATCTTATTAGCAACAGATAAAAGACTGCCAAATGTAGATTTCAAGTGATGTTTTTAATTTATTATGAAATAAGTGTGCTTTATGGATAAGTTTCATGATGTAGATTGGATTAACTCAAGAAATAAGTGACATAATAAAGACAAGGGGAAAGTATGTGTGCAGAAAAATATTGACAATGCCAAATGTAGATTTCAAGTGATGTTTTTAATTTATTATGAAATAAGTGTGCTTTATGGATAAGTTTCATGATGTAGATTGGATTAACTCAAGAAATAAGTGACATAATAAAGACAAGGGGAAAGTATGTGTGCAGAAAAATATTGACAATGGATATGGCAGAGGTATGATCTTCAGACATCAACCAGAGTACACATACTTATGGAGTATTAGCATAGTAGATTCGATCTTAGTCAAACAACTTTTACATTAGAGGCAATTGCTGATGTCTTGGAGTGAACATAATGCTTGATAAATGCTAAGTATTTGACAAATAGGAACACTACACAGAAGTACATCAGTATACAAGCAGCATAAAATGCCAACATGCAGCTAGGGAACATGTGCCCTTATATATAAAACATGTAAAGCAATAACTCAATATGAAGTAATAGTGGCACACTACATCCCAGGTTCCTCGGTTTGTTGTTCTTTTTAACCCTCATATAGTTATTTAGATATATGGTATTTGAATAAGACATCAATACTGGTCCTAATGTAGAATTTTATTCATTTCTTGGATTATTCACTTGGATAAGTGAAGGGCTAAAAATATAGCTTTAAAATGAGTGTTACAATTATGTGGCATATGCCTTTGCAATTGCTCCAGTCAAACCAAATAATGCATAGGGGGAGATCTACATCCTCCACTGCTTTTTTCACCAACAACAGTGATTTGACTGAAAAGATACTACCCACAACCTCAAGTACTTTACACAGGTCGTGGTCATGTATATAGCAGCTTCAGTGAGGAATAGAAGCGAAACATGACATGACTTCTGAATGGATTTTAGGCTTTATTCAGATCATGTTATAGGGAGGTACGCACAGCAATTGTATAATCATAAGCTTACAGTGCCTGCAGAGAGTGCTCACTATGTACCTTCCTCCCTGTTCCCCCTTTCCTTGGCTTTTTGAATTAGCAGAAATCATTTTTATCCCTCTGGAAAGTTAATACAAGAATTCTCTCATTGAGACTGCTGTAATGTGGTCAATAAGCTTAGGGCTACATCATATGTTGTGCAGATAGATTTCTGTACATGCAACAGAGCCTACCCATCCATTGCAGACGGACATAACAATTGGATTTCACCGTTAGATTATGAAGAGATGGATGCTGACATCTTGTTTTCCTGCCCTTCTGCTTTTACTAGGCAGTGGCAGCTCTACACAGCCAGCACTATAGCATCTGTTCCTGGCCATTTTGAAGAGAGGTCTGTAAGATTGTTCTGGAATAGGGAGAAATGGGGGACATAACATTTTAAATAATAATTTCAAGAAATAATGTTGAAAGAACTAGTTTTCTTAACAAATTGCAATTTCTGGGTCTTAATTTCCTACCCATCAGATGAAAAGATTGAAGACTTTCAGTTAGGAATTACATAAAGCTAGCATGACTATTTCAATATGCCAAGTAAGTGAAGGACTTAGAATTATGTTAGCATAGTGCGTTCTTTACAATAGTACTGACTATTTGAAGATTAAATGAAGCTGTATTTTATACATTACTAGCCACCCCGCCATGTGTTGCTGTGACCCAGTCTGTGTATATGTGTTTTGTGTGTATGTGTGTGCGTGTATAGAGAGAGAGGGAGAGAGAGAGTTTTGTGCATGCAATGTAATGTAATTCTTTGTTTTTCTGGCTTTTTAAGTCTCTTCTGCTGTGTTTTTCAGTGTTTATATGAGTGGTGGTCACTCGTTGGTCTGATAGGTGTATTGTGTCCAAATTTGGTGTCAATTCATACAGTGGTTTTTGAGTTATGTTAATCCCACAAACGAACATTACATTTTTATTTATATAGATGATCTTTAGTAAATCAAGTGTTTCAAATGATATAAAACACTCGATCTGGTATAAAATGCAGTCTTATGTACAGGAGTGATTTGATACTTTTTGATAGTTTTGATCTGTACATAATATTCTACTCCTAGCCAAAATTGTGCTGCCACCTATAAATTACTTTTTTAAAAAATTGGTACCTTTTGGAAACAAATTCCACAGATGAGAATATATCCAAGTTACAAACAAGATAGGTTTTATAGGTTTGTTCTTAAGTCAAATTTGTATGTAAGTCAGAACAGTTACTTTTTAAAGTGTAACTCTAGCCTGTCTCTCATTTTCTCTCATTCTCTCTCTCTCTCTCTCTCTCTCTCTCTCTCTCTCTCTATATATATATATATATATATAGCTTTGGATAGCATAGGGAAAGGTTAACACCCCTGTGGTGTTTGTTTGCTCTCTGTGTCCCTGTTCAGAAGATTACACCTCACTTTCTATCCCTGTGATAATTGATTTTGAAAAAAAAAATGCTTGTTGTAGAAACAAGGATTGGTGATGAAGCTTCAGTAGAGACACCTTTTTCCCATAATAACTTTCCCAGGAGTGAATTTCCCTTCCAAATGGTTGATTTTTCTCACTTCCTGTTTTCTCACCCCCGTTCTTAAGTATGAGTCACTTATAAGTTGGATGTTTGTAAGTTGGAGACTACCTGTACTTTTCATACTTTTACATATGGTTAACATGAATGGCAATTAAGGAGGTCTTCATAGAATCTGGCCCTCCACCTCAACTGAGTTCTGAATCAGCCATTCCCAGAAAAATAGATGAAGACAAATAGATAGAAGCCTACCCCAGTGTGTTCATAATTCTAAACTCACCTTCACCCAACCTACATTTGGATGAAGTTTGCTGCAAGACTACCAAATAATGTTTTCCTAATGTGTCAATGTTTAAATTGAGCAGAGAAATAAACAGGCTGCATTAAAGATTCTTGGGGGTTTATGAGAAGTCTTCTAATTAAACATGTTGGAATTTAGTTGATTTAGCAATATTCCCAATGCAGTTTTGCCGTGGTTATAATGGAATGCAAACAGACATTGCACGCTTCATTGGAAGCTCCCCTGCTTGTTTCAAATCAAAGCTGAAGAAAAGATATTTTTAATTCACATTTTTAAATAAGTGAATTGTTAATTAATAGCAAAACTAAGAGAGATTCAAAAGAGAAATCTTAGTTATAGATTATGTGCTACATGCTTGGATAGCCACATGTGTGACCTCAATTCAGCACTGTGCTATAGAGTAGACTCCATGATTAAACACTGTCATTATAACAAATTGAATAGAAACTGCAAGCACTGAATTGCTTCATAAGAAGTCAGTAGCAGTAAGATTGTCCCGATTTTAATGCTAATATTCACTGCACCAGCCTTCTAGGAGTTTGTTTCTTAATTAAATTGTCTTGAAGGGATGCAAAAAAAAGGGTATAGGACAAATTGGGAGGTCATCTTTTTTCACTCTCAAACTTTATCATCTGGCCCATCCCTGCTCCCTCCTTTCTTCCCTCCGCCTTCCCATCTCTGTCTCATATTCTCTTTCTATCCTTCTCTTTTTTGTGTGTGCACACACACACACACAGACATCAAAACCCCATGAATGTCGTCTTCTTCTTCTTCTTCTTCTTCTTCTTCTTCTTCTTCTTCTTCTTCTTCTTCTTCTTCATGGTGCTAGTTCAAAGAATAAAAAATGGATTGGCTGAAACAATGTGTTAAGTTTTTTCCCCAAATCTCCCAGTTTAAACAGTTTGCCCTTTTTCTCTCAATTAGAAGAACCAGGCCTATATCTGTCTTCCCTTTCTACCACCCTAACACATTAACAACTAAAAAGAAGTGCTGGCAATCAAAAGGATTTCAGAGTTCTTCATATCATAAAAAAAGAATGACTTAACACTTGGTGCTCATGAAAGTACTGTCTGGTCACACCAACTGTGCTCTGAAGGATCATTACACATCATTGTAAACCAAATTTAATGGAATTATAGTTGACTTTCTCTGTATACATGTACATTTTGTGAATGTGGTTCATTGTCTTGACTTGGGGATTATCGACAAAATACGAGAGTACAGTAGGGAAATCTGTTTTATACCTTCTGCCATCTTTCGTGATATCCTTTGAAAAGTCCCATTCGTTTTACTCAGATCATTATTTTCTGCTTATTGTCCTTTTCCTTTTCTATTTTGATCCTTCATTTATCCATTCCTCTGTTTGACTCCTCGCACAATTTCAAATATTTCATCCTTAAATCACCTTGGTAGAAGTACAACATATTCAGGGTGGAAAAGGTGGCAAACCTGACCCTTGCATGGAAATGAAATAAGAAGTTTTTCACATAATGAGATTCAAAAAAATTACTTCTGTCTATTATCTAGGAATAATGAGCCCTGAGAAAAAAAGCAGGCCAGAGGAAAATTCTGTGACTTCCACATCATCAGAACATTCAGAAAAAGAGGGAGAGAGCAACAAGAAGATGTTTCCAGATTGGAGTAGCAAAAAAGCTACTAAAGCCAAGGTACAAATTAAATAAAAAGTGGGCAGGAATCA